ACAAGGCTTCAAAAGCTATTTTACCGCTATAATCCCTCAGAACAATTAACTTAATTACTTTGGAATAGCATTCTTCTGCAAACAAATATGAATGCTCAAAGTTTGTAATTTATTCAAACCCAAGATAAGCTACAAATGTCATTTTGCATAACTCATCTCTATTTACTTTTCTTTATCCCCCACAAGTAAAAAATCATCAAGAGATCAAAATCAAAATCTTATCTGTCTCCCGAGTTACTATAAGTTACTCTATCAGTATATATATGAGCAATATATTCGTCAAGATGAAACATAGAGCATGTGAGGACCTTGAGTGATTGGTTAAGATTTCCAGAAAGCGCTTTTAATAGAGTGGTCTTCCCACATCCTGGAGGACCAAGCAGGAGAGTCATTCTGCATTTAGAATTTACATATATAAGTACCATATAATTCTGCATTCAGAGTTTATATATAAGACGTGAACGAAAAATGAAAGGTTAGCATGGAGAGTTGGATACATTCCAGTAACTTTGAAGATAACCCGAGAGAGAGAGAGAGAGAGAGAGAGAGAGAGAGAGAGAGAGAGAGAGAGAAGAAGCAGAAACTGCAGTAGCATGAAATTTGTAACAGATAACTGATTTCTAAAGGAAACTACGACATTCTTATTGGCTTGAACATATTATAAATAGACTAGCAAAATGAGCATACCTTCCAGGCTTAATGATACCGCTAACACCATCAATGATGCTGATCTTTGATACTAGTGATTTAACACCTAGAAGCCTTGTAATGTCCTGTGGACGGACATAAATCACTATCAATTCTTAAGGAAGCAACAGATGTAAATTAGAAAAACTGCTGAAATGGCTTTTTAATACTTCAAAGGCATAAAATAAGTACCTCCTCATTCTATTGAGGAAACAAATACAAACAATGTATCAGAGAGATTTCCATTCATCATACTATTTATATTATCTGTAAAAGCGATTGGAATTGGATAAATCATAATTGTTATTTATGATAGATAGATACGCACATCAGCAGCTCCACATGGTGTCATGATGTGGATCAAATAATTATTTCAGGGTATAAATGAAAAAGAAAAAATTCTTTTCCAAAAATTTTTTAATGGTGTAAGGCTTGCTGCTCAATCAATCTCATTTCATATTATCCATGACTTTTTATCTCCAGGGTAATCAAAGCATAGGGTAGAAATGAAGAAGCACTTTTGCATCACACTAGAAATTCAGTTTACTGTAACTTGACTGTAAAAGAAGAGAAACAATGTTTACATCCTAAAATTAATCATTAGATTCTAATGACTGGAAAAATTGTTTAAAAAGTTTGTTGTAGTTAGGCTTTTAGCATTGAATTCAATACTGAGTCAGCTCAAAGATGCACCCCTATAACACTCTTGCATTAGATGATAGAGTAGACAGACTTAGACTCTTTGATTGAAGAACTAACAGCAAAATAGAAGCTGAGCACAAACTTACTGGAAGACTACTTTTAAAGGAATTCCAAAGAGTTGGAAGAGGCTTCCCTTCAACAACTTCACAATCAGCTTCTACATGAAGATCATCATATCTTACTTCCACTGATGGAAATTCTAAACCAACTCTACAGAAATCAATTGAAAGTTAGACTGCAATTAATCTGAAATGACAATGAGAATCGTTAACTATTGAAGAAATAATAGCTAACCTTATAAGCCATAACTACAACATCTAAATAGGACATAACAGTTTTACTTTTTCCGTAGATGTTTTCATTTGTTCTTTTTGGAGTGATGACAATATTCAGACAAAGGATATCAAGAGTCATGACATATTACATTAACTTTAGTTGTCATCAATTAGAAAAACCTTGCTGTCCTGGTTCAAAAGGAGAAGAAACATTACTTGTTCATTCTTTTTCTCATTTTCTGAAGCAATTGAAGGTTGTCATGCTCAATGTGTTTAATCAGCCTCTCAACGAACACATGCCTTTCTGGAGCACTGAGTTTGGTAACATCAATCACTCGTTTTCTTTTATCTTCAGCTTCATTGCCATCAGGCTCATCAAACAAAGATGATCTGAGCCGTTCAAAAGTAGGCAGTCTCTCAATAGCAGCCCATTGCAATGCAGTTTCTTCATCAAGATTACCATCCCTTCCAGTACTCAAGACTGAACTCCTGAAACTGGAGCTGAGACGCCGCAATGAGAATCTCAAGCTTCTTCCCACTTCTGACAACTCATTTCTTATTGACTCTATCTCATCTGTTCCAACTAAACTAGCCATGATTCTGTGACTCTCTGCACTGCTCCAATCCTACATTCACTGGGACAAATACAGAAAACATCGGTATGTCAGTCAGTTTATATAGGATCTTGACTGCAATTATGAATGAGGTATGACCATACGTCATCCTTAATATTTTCTTGAGCAAGGATACTTGCACGCCATATGAACCCGCTACAGTCAAAGAAGGATTCTTATACCACCTAATAACAAGACTTGATGGTAAACAAATTGGGGTGTATTCACAACTCATCAGTTTTGGCTGTTTCTTTAATGAAAACCTCAGAAAACTGATATTAAATCCATAAACATTTAGAATCCAAGTTACATGATACCGTAGTTGACTTTGCACCTTAATCAAAATATCTGTACCCTATAAAGATTGCCATTTCCTGCCCGTCCTTGGTGCCTTTCAGGCCTTACTGAAGCAAGAATAAGGCCTTTCAACTATTCCGTCAATTTGATATTGCTGACCTTCATACATTCAATCAATTAATTAAGTATATTCTAGGGGACCAGCAGTTCATAAATCCATTATATAACTTATCTTTTAGTTTAGCAAAATTTGGAATCTTTTATAGATTATTGATGATGAGTTCGTTCCTCTGTAACTTCACTTATACGGCTAAATAACACCTTTAACCCTTAGAACCACCAGTGGGGGTACTATCTAGCAAAGCTACCTTTTTTTTTTTTTTTTTTTTAATATTCTCTATAAGAGTTATACCAAGCATTACCTCCCAAAACATACAAATTCACAAATGTTGCTCGAACTCGACTCGACCACTCAGTGAAAGTTTAAGCATGAACTTTGGCATGCACAATGTCCATCATCACTCAACGCAATCAAACAGCCAAAAATGGTTTCTTCCCCACATTAACTTTGTATACATCTCAAAAAACTCTAAAAACAGTCAAGATATATTCATATCGTCTGATAAATTTTTCTCGCCAAATTTTATTTTGATGTTGCATTTATACACAGAACAGAACCCTGACTGAAGCTTCGGCGTGGCGTCGACCCACACTTCATCAATGCAATTATTTCTAATGCATTGGAGGCCTGAATCGATAAGGCCCCTGATCCAAAAGTACATGACTAGCAGACAATTTAATCTTGGAACATCTACCCGGGGAACTACCAAATAATTATCAGAGAAAATTTCAGCCATGGAAGCCCAGGATTTGAAGAATCAAGAAAGCCCCATCGAAAATCATGAATGAAACCACACATGAAACTATGTATGTGGGGGGTAATGAGCCACAGTCACCTTCGTGTGTGCCCACGTGCACGCACAAATGGGTAGCCCCCTCCTGTGTTAATTCAATATATACATGTCTCATTGGCGGTATCTTCTTCTTTCTTGCAACAAGCCATACGGAGCTATGTAATTGTATATACTTGTTGCAGCTATGAATGCATGTGAACCAAATTATTGAGCCCTTCTATTTTGGACCCACAGTTCTTTTAAGACAGAAGGAAACAAAAAAAAAATTATAAAATTGAAATGGGATTCTTGATCGAAGAGGGATCATGAGATGAGATGGCAACAAAGTGAATGCAAGTTCTGTTTTGAAAACTCAGGATTGAACTTTTCAAATGCAATATTTTTCTTCAGATAAAGTTTAATAAAACACAAAAGGAATCATATGATTGATAAGCTGTGGATGAGTAAAGAACTGAAGGCAGGCATGAAGGGAAAAAAAATGAAAATGATAGTGACAATAATGGTGGAGACCGTTGCAATGATGATGGAGGTGATTAAATTCTGGCATATTTTATCATTTTGATATTCCATTCTGGATGACAAACCAACTAACAGGCGAAGCATATACAGCCAGTCTGCTGAGGAGAAGAATTCTTAAATACATAAAGATGCAGCAATTGCTAGCCATTGAAGCCATCAAGAAAAAGAGGTGCTCATTTTCACAATGTAAATTTTCTAGCCTCCTCATATTTCATGGTCCCCGGACCAACTTATATCAAAGAATGAATGTGTCAAATTAGTGATAAATCAATGAAATGTCTGCTTCAGATTCTTTCTTTTTTTCTTTTTTTTTTTTTTTTTTGGGTGAAGAAGTTGATCGTTGTCTTGACAATTATGGACAACTGAAATTAAATTGCACGTTATTTGTAAATGTCTCATTTTGCACTTGGCAAAGAAAACGTCTTGGGGATAAGGGTAGGTCATACAGAGAGAAAAGTCATGTACGGACACTAGGCATCAAAATTGTGAACAGGAATGTTGGATGGATCGACCTTAAAGGTTGACTCTGGTAATAGTAATTTGTTCTGTGCCACCTAAAAAATTAATTATCTATTACTGTTGGAATTCTTCCCATTGTTGGGTTGAAGATTCAAATCCTGATCTCGCAATTGAGAACGAGAAGGATCTCTGTACCACTCAATCCATTCTTATCCGATATAAGATTAATTAGTCGAGTTATTTTTTGCATATAATTGAAGATGTATTAGTATTTTATGACTGAAAAGGGTTCTTAGAATTCTCTCAAAAATGTCAAATTCAGGATTCGAATCTTGGTACTGGAAAGGGCTCTTAGAATTCTCTCGAAAATGTCAGATTCAGGATTCAATCTTGGCACGACAGTTGTCGTGAAAAAGATGTCAACATGGTTGGAAGGTCAAAAAAAAAGAAGTACAAAATCAATTAGTCAAGTAATCGGGGATATGAGGGAAACAAGAATTATAGCTCGCCCTGCTCTATCCTGTGCCATCACGTCTTGAATCTTTTTACTTTTCATTCCACTTTTTTAACTCCAACTATTCAAGAAACTGGAAGAATTTGTATGCAATGACGTCTTGATGTAATTGACTAAAAGCGCCGAATTTGAGGCTGCCGGCGTTAATATTTAGGCCCTGCACAATAATGCCTCGTTGGCGTACATGCCTTAGTCCTAGAAACATTTCGGTAATGGGAAACTATTGCAGTGAAAAGGTTTCTTTCTGTCCTAAGCTGTGGGACTTTCCTTAGTTTCTCCCAAAAAAAAAAAGCCATAAACTGGACCCCTGCATGCTATTTGCTCTAATGGCTGCTAGAACCCAAGAGGTTTATTACAAATTTTGCTGCCCAAAAAAAAAAAAAAAGGCTGTAATTTGAGGAACAAAATCCTGTCCGATTCCATATTGATTTGCTCATGTAAACCGTAGATTGCGACAATCTTCTCTTCCATTTTTTCAACTATGTTTTTGCAGGGTTTACCTGCACAAGTTTATTCCCTGAACACAAGTTGTAATATGAAATTAGACATTATTATACAGTAGCATGACATTAAAAACTACAGAGTTGTACCATTATTAGCAAAAAATAATGGAGTGAATGAATACTTCATCTCACAATTTCTAATCAGAATCAAGATAACAGACATGATGACTTAGGAGACCCTACCTTTCTTGTGCATTATTTCTTCCAATTAATGAATTTTAGATGCCAAAAACCATCAATCAAACATGGAATCCCGCAAGGACATGCTCTTCTGTAGTTTGCTTGTATCTCCTTTCCTCCTAGTACTAATTTCTTCAACAAAAAAAAACAAATGCTTTTAGAAAATTAATTTAATCAATTCTGATTTACAAAAGTCCAAATCGTGCAGTCTTCTGCAACCACTCAACTTGGCTTGCTGGCTTTACTTATCCTCCTCCGTTAGATAATACCACTATTTAGTCAAGTCTTCTTCCTCCCAATTCATAATAAACCACATACAAGATTGAAGCAGCAAGTTTCTTTTTAAATATAGAGAAGGGCATTCTACAATGATATCAGACCTAAAAAAATGAGTAGCCTACTGTCTGAGTTGCCTCGAAACCACATTGTAGGGCTACCAATCTAAAATAGCACTATCTTATTTCTGCAATTGTTTAAGTGTTGAAAATGGTAAAATGCGTTGATAATGCAAGTAAGTCAGTGTATGTAAATAAGGTGCAATCCAAACACATTAGGTGTTTTCAGGGTAAAAAAAAAATGGTGTTTCCAATACTATAAAATTGTATTGAAAAGTTTTCAGTACTAAGAAATACAAAATCACTACTATTCCTTAAAGGGTAAAATTTATAATCCCTAATGATGAATTGCACTTGTGGAGGAGTATTCATTGATTCTTTTGGCGTTCCCGCTAATTGGGCATTAGAGTATTGATTGTCTTGAGTAACTTAAAAGAGTCAAAGGCACAGAATCAACTGATAAATAGTTCTAGAAACCTCAGCGTTAAACTTGAGGCAGAACCTCTGCCAAACTCTCATTTGCTATTTGATCATGGGTGTCAGATATTAGTACATATTTTTTAGGGGCTTTTCCTGTCACAAAAGGATAAACTTGTTGACAATTAGTAATTCTAGAAAAAAAAATTGGATTTGACATCATGTCATGGCATATTAAGATTTTATCAAACATAGAATTTTGATTCAATTCCAGCTTCAAAACATGCATTTGTAATCCCAATTCAAAATCGACAAGAGACTACAGTTGTTGCATCAAAACTGTCAGCAGGCACAGTTAGTCCATAATGGTGATGCCCTGTTGAATCCTCCTCTTGTATTCTTCATTACCATCCTAAAGTAAGCCTGTTTAAGCAAAATAAGAGCTACTCACAGTAAACTGCTGATTGATATGGAGATTAAAGGAAAGATGCCAGACCAAGAAGGTGGCGAAGCCGGTACCTGTTGGATCCTCATGAAAAGTGAAAATCCAGGGAAAACTAATGCAGAAATGAACCACCCCAAATATTACTTGCATTTAGCCAATTCATGTGAAACAAGTAAATCTTGTCTCTCATTTCATTTCCTGTGCGAGTAAGTGTGACGTACATCCACCCTTGTAACTTACTCACCTATTGGTATCTTTATTGTCTACATGGCGATACACAAATCTAAGGCTGTAACTAATAAATGGGAGGTGAAATTTCTCACCAAGATGATTATATCAATTGAACTAATTTGATAATCTCAATGAGCGAGCATCTGGCCTATTTGAAAACCAGGTTGTGACATGTTTTATCACATGGATATGCACAGTCGATAGCCTTGATGCCTGTCCGATCAAAATACCAATCTCCAACAGCAAGTGCAATGCCCTGCATGATTTAGAACATCAGTTGAACAAAACCCTTTTAAAATTTTTACTAAACAAGAATGGTAATGCCCGCAACAGATCTCAGTCAGAGGAAAAGTGAAAAGGTAAAAGATACTGCAGATGTACGTAAATATGAAAATCATGGAGCATGTAACGTATGCAAAGTAATTAGCTAAGCAAGACAGAGAAGTCTATGAGCCCAATCTCCTACTTCCGATGAACCAGCAATAAAATCATCGATGTGACTCCTGATTTAATTGAGGAAACTCGTCACCCCATGCTCATAGATACTGTTCACTTAGCGTCCTCAAATTGCTGCACTAGTGTTACACTTGGATAATAACTTTCATCTCATGGTTCCTGATTTTCAGATTCAACGTAAGTATCACAATCAGATTAGAATAATCTTCTGGAGAGTCATTACTATGAAATTAAGCCTTCTGCAAATATTTTCATTAGACTACATAAATGTGATTCAATTTCACCAAGTTATCATTCATATGTTCATCTTTTCTCTCTGCTATACTTAATCTTAAAGTCGGTTAATACATTGAGTATGACACGTGCTATTGTTATCTTATCCAAGTCATTCCAAAATGCGACTTCAGTCTAATGCAAGCATTTTCATCGCAGCAAATGAGTCAAAAAAGTGGATGCCATAATAAGACCTAAAAAGTTAGTAGCCAATAGCATACCTTGTTGCCAATAGCAGGAGAGTCATCTGCAAACCATGTATCCTGCCTCTCTGATTGGCATGAGCAAAGCAGGAATTTATGAACAACCCATTTTGTCCGGACATTGCAAAGCTTCTCACGGAATTTAGCATACGAATCCTAAAAGCTGCTAACAAAGAACATTGAATTAGTATTCAACCCTGCATCTCCAAAGCATCTAAAGCAGCTTCAGTAACTCAGTTGACAGAGGTTACCTTGCAGGAATCGGATCTGTGAAGCAGAACATTTTGCATGGTTCAGTTTACAGTCATGCCAAGTTCCATGAGGATCGCTGCAGGAGGAGCTAAGCTAGCCTGGACCTGAATAAAAAAAAAATGAGAATGCCAAATAATTAATTTCTCATTCCCATCATTCAGAAAAATCTGCACCTAGCACAAGAAATACTCATGACAGAGGTTACATTACCTGCCATGAATCATAGGCAGCATTAAGAATAAAAAGAGGAGTTTTTACGTTGTCAATCAGGTTCTGAGGGAAGAAGCACTGAAAAAGAAAACGAAAATCAACTGTGAACTTGGAAACATGAAAATTCTCTAGTATAACAGCATTGCCACAATTGTGGCAGTAAAGATGAAAAAGACTTACTGAAGTTGGATCCCGATATCTAGTACACATACTTGGCAGGTTCTTGGCAACACCCTGGCAAAAACGGAAGACCATTAGCTGAGTCAGTTTAACAATGAAACCAAGAACATAACTTCAGAGTGTGATCTAAACAGGACTTGTTCCTGATGTTTTATGTTTGTTGGAGTTATTTTCACAGAAACTTGCCACAAAGATGCAGAGTCTGAAAAGTCGACAGCCTTCTTTTTTTCATCACTCAACTTATGCATGCAAAATTTTTTGACTCAGCTTAATGTGTTTTACAACCAATTTGAATTTAACTTTTGACTTGTGCAAAATATGATACATATAAGTCCCTCCAAACAAACAGTAATGTTCCACGTTTCTACCAACCATCCTCTTCGAAAGCTTTAACCAAAATTATCTCCTCAAGGATGGAGAAACAGATATGTAGCCCTAACAACTTCTATTAAACATTACAACAGGTATTGCAAACAAGAAACTGTGAAAATGTTCAATATTCTACCAGAAGCATAAGAAGAATGAAACTTTCTTAAGATGCTAGTCTTAAAGGAAATGATCAAGAAATGTTTCATTTCAAAAATACCTGCAAGTTAACCACGCCAGCAAAGAAGTTCCTCATGCTGTGCCCACCAGATACATCAATCCTACAAAAACACAATATCCAATAAAGAATTTAAGAAAACCTAATAGCTGCAGAGATGAGAAAATGGAACTTGACACAAGAAAAGAGTGAATCAAGAAATTGACATTACGAATCCATAAACAATCCAGCATCGCTCAGGCACTTCACTTTAGTACTTGATGGAAACAACTCACGGAATTCATCACAGTGCAATATAGAAGCTAGACCACCAGCAGAGCATCCTGAAAGAAGGGCCTGAAACATAACTAAGAATTAGAAAATATAGAAGACCATAGGATATCAGAAAGGAATGTGCAATAAGATAACATTCCAAATCAATACCCTGTCAGCAGAGTGCATTCCCTTTGACATCAAATCTTCCATTGCAGCATGCCAAATTCGTTGCCCTCTAAACTGCAGCTGTGCAACCTGAATGAAGATAAGATTGTTACTGTATAAATTACGAACGTCCACCCACTTGTACGATAAACTGAAGAAAGAATGATTACACGATTCCTGTCACAAGAAGAATGTTTAAACCATGTAGCATGAAAAGCCCCAAAAGGGGAGTAAACTTCATTTGGCTTAAAATCAACGATGCGAGCAATTCTCCAAGTCAAACACACAAGGTGCCTTCAATAGCAGTGGTTAACGAACTCCTCTCTCTGGTTAGTCAGCAAGCTCATAGTAATGAAATATAGGGTGAACATTGCTTGTAAAGGGAGTCCAGGGCAAACATTTTAGGTACTTTATGCATTAGAAAATGATTAGCAGAAAGCAAGTCACAGTGGGAATACCAAGTACGTCAGTGTAATTTCAAAACTTAGTTTTTTGTTCTAGTTCATTGATTTACTTGAGTAGTCCGCACATGTAGCAATATGAAGAAAAAAAATTGAAGACAAACATGCGATCACACCTTATCTTCACCCTCCCCTGCGAAAGAAGCTCCATCACAATAACGAACCTTTATTCTGTTCCAATTAAAAAAGTCTGCAAATGAACCAATTAGTAAGAACCATGCAACAACATTAATCCATGGAATGTAAAGCAAGGCAAAGAAACATAGTAGAGAATACAAAGCAGTAAGTATATCCGTGCAAAATTTTGGTGAAAACCTGGATTTTCTTCTGGTTTATTGCTGAGTATTCCTGTAAAAGGTATCTGCTTTTCCATATGTGTTGAAGATCCACGTCTTGTTGTTTTCCTGTAAACACATGATCTAATGGAGTTGCACCATCCTCCACCCTGCCACAAAATCTTGAAAATTCAGAATGTGGTCTAACACAGTGTCAACTTGCCGGGATTATTGCAGCATACAACCAACTAAGCACCAAGATCCCAGAAACACTAAAGAATAATAACAAAGAATTTGCTGCTCTTGTTTTTTTGAGTGAAAGATGAGTGTACAGTTATACACCCTAGCTTGCTGGAGAACACTAAATAATTGTAACTGAAAATGGGTACCACAATATTTTGGATAATTCGAGTAACTGGGAAGAAGATGGAGACAGTAAAACAGTTGGAAAAAACACAATTAAAGCATAAGTCTAGTTTAGAAAACAGAAGATACCGCACAACCTGATGGAGTCTATTTTAGGCTGATAAACTAAATTATTTGTAATTGAGACAAACAAAATCAACAGAAATAAACATTTATAGACCTGAAATTTTAACATTTTTAGGAATCCATATTACTGTATCTAAATATAAGATGTCTGACGAACCTCCAATTGAATAAGCCAACTGTTTGCCCCTGATCCAAATCCGCGATGAATGTGATAACCGGGTAGTGTTCCATCCAAGCACACTGCAAGAGTGAAATACAAGAAAATTCTTCCCAGTCAAGTTGCTAATGCTACAAAGAACCTTCTTCTCAAGAAGTGCTTTAACACGTTCTCCAAAACTGAACCTCAGTTTCAGTAATAAATGTACAATATATTTCCAACGGTAAAGATTTTAATCTTCAAATTTTCAAGTTTTGGATTGCTGAATTATTCCAAATAATATTTCGCTTGCATCATAAACACTTGTTCCAATCCACCTTTTTATATTTCCAATTATTTTTTATCTTACATACATTACATCACAAAAAGTACTACAGTAATTATTTTAAATAATATTTCAAATAATACTCTGTCCAAACACAGATTGATATCCGCCCACTGTTTATGAAAACAGCCCAAAATCAAATTTCAAGAAATTACGAAACGTGTTCAAAATGAATACGTATAGTCCAACAACAGAACCATGGATGTGAATAATGACATCTATCTGCTCACCAGTCACCATCATCTCATCTACAACCGAGACTCATATCTTGAAATTCGTCATGGTAATAGTAATAAATAAACAAGAAGACAAAAACCTCTTCATCATGTCACTTTACTAACTTTCGAGCCAAAACAAGTGGAAAATCATATCAACAAAGGAAAAACAGATTTTGAGACCAATAATAACAAAAATAACAAATAACAAATAACAAATGAAAACAGATTTTGAGACCAATAATCTGGAAAGAAAGAATCACATTACAATAACCTGACTTAAGATGGATAATCTAGCAGATAATAGCAAAGTCGGAGATCTAGAAAACATATCTACTTACCCAAGAAGAAAAATCCTAACTGGGAAAGAATAATAAGAATGCATTATTGCATTAATCAATTTCAGCTTATAGCATATATGCTTGAGGAAAGAAACCAACAATCAATCCATCACAAATATGAATAAGGACATATTTAAATGTAAAAACAGGAAAGTTTCTTGCTTATACTCAATTAAGACTTCCAAACCAGAGAAGCAAGGATAAAAACATAATCTAAGAAAGAAAATAAAAAACCATAGCAAGGAAACTTGTACCAGCCCCTTGAGCAGCAGCTCCTCGAATAAGGGTAAGGCCAACCATAAGAGGCTTAGGAGCAGCATAACATAGGCCAGACTCCAGGATGATGATAAATTCTCAGTTCTGTTGTAAAACAGCTCATCAATTCAAAACTTTCTAACCCCACCGCTAAAACCAAGACAACAAAATATCACCACACCCCACAATCCCATGAGCTGCTGATTCCCCATGGCTCTAACTCTCAGCTCTAAAACTCTTTCTTTTTTCGTTTTCTGAACTACCCAAATCTTGTAAAATAAATAAATTTAAAGAAATGGTTTTAGCAAACTTCTGTGTTTTTTTTTTTTTTTTTGCTACTTTGCTTTACAATTTGGAGCTCTAAATGTCGAAATTTATGTACCAATCACAATGACAAATGTGTCATGTATTGGGAAAAGATTTTGACAATCTTTTTACAAGGAAAGAATAAGAAGATAATTTATAGTAAAATTTTCCACCTTCCAGGACAGGGGAGGTGGGGAGAAGGGACGGGAGGACAGAGATTTGGTATGTGCTGTTGGGGCTTGGGGGGGGGGGGTGCTGGCGCCAGGGGTGGGTGTATGCCTGCAAGGATCTAAGGAAGAATGACTATGCACAGGGGAGTGAGCAGTGGAGATATGTTTTGTGGGGCTAGAAAAAAATTTTAACTATTGTGCATGAGAATAATTTTTTGATGTTCTAAGAGTGTAAAGTGAAGACAAGAATATTTAGGGAAGGTTTTTTAATTTCATCTTTGCCATTTGAGGTGGTAAAAAATTTCAATTAAATACTTGAAAATTATGATACCTTATAATTTGGCCCCCCAGACAAGAAGGCTGAGAGTGAAATTGGACCTAACTTATAAATTTAGTTGTTATTATTATTAAATGTCTATTGGAGAAATATGACTTTATGGAATTTCCTTGTTTGAAGTGAAAAGGAATACCTTTACGTTATTTTATTACCACAACGTTTAGTAAGAATACCACATGCAATGAAAAAGTGCTAAATGTGCCGATTTAAGTCCGTCTTTAAATTCTGAAATTTCAACGAAATTTCAACCTTAACCACTAAATCAAAACCTTCTTGACTAAATTAAAGAACTTTTACATATAACAGTCCCAATGAACTTTAATGAAACCACTATAATGAAACCTTTGACGAACTCTATTATTTCCTTACTTTGGTTCTTTTTTTTTTTTTGGTTGCTAAATTTATACTCACGGCTTTGACATGAGGAATAGGAAAGTTTATTACTACAGAACCTCTTTGGGTTGGGAGAAAAATGTAGGACTTCTTATTGTCGTTTGATGGGGCGAATGAGGCGATGTAACATACTAATTTTGTTCTTCGACACTCGAAATATGGTATTCTAAGGGGGATTCAACTGGACCTATAAGAGATCGACGGGAACTGAATCACCATCGGATCGCACCTGTAACAATTAATGGGAGACAAGATTTGAACCCTTAACTCCCATCTCACAAAATCTAAAAGGCTTGATGGTGGCCAGCTCCTGTGTTAGGAGTTGGTTGTATAACATACTAATTACTTGCCAAAATATTAAAGAAGTCATGGGGCGTCATTTTGTTTCACATTCCGTGGTCAATTAGTGCGTCTTTGAATTGAAAATTTAAACTCAAGTAGATTCGCTTGAGTTATAAATGCATCATTACATATGACAGCTGTATAAATACGAAGCAGACGAGAGAAAAGACAATTTATGGACAGAGGATTCACAATCCCTATCTAGCCTTCCTATTTTCTCATCTCCCCTATTTCCCTTTTGTTTTCTGCCTTCCTCAAAAAATTAAAACTATTTTGACAATATGCAAAGTAAAGTATATTATAAGAGCAATGTTGGTGCAATATTGCCATTCACAAATACAGAGTTTTCTTTTCTTTTCGTTTTTTTTTTGTGAGAATCGTAATAGAATTTTACAAAAATTAATTCTGTACATTTATGTTAAATTAACTTGTAGTTTTGTTATTTCTAGTGCATATTTATTTTGCAATTAGTGCATATTTCTATGATGTAAGTAAATCAAATCACGTCGATTTTCAGCAATCTCGTGAATAAAATTCGCTTTTTATTCCCCACATGGAAAGTAATCGGGGGTTACCTATTCGGCCGTCATATGACCGCAAAAAGACAAGTGAACCCCCTTAAAAAGACAAGTCCTTAGTCATCCGTGTATTGCTCAAATACACATCAAAAGGTGCTGGAGAAGGCTTGGTTAAGTCGAAAGGTAAGAGATTCTGGGTTCAAATCCTCTCGCCCATCATATAAAAATATTGGCTTTCAATTTTGATAGATAATTAGATGCTACATGGAAAACCATTTCCAAACAATTTTTAAATATACTTTCCGACCATCATTTTAGTTTTTAGTAATTATTTTATCTCACAAATATCATATACATCATATAAAAAAGTGATACAATAAATTAAAAAAAGTTATCGAAAATTATTTTCAATCTTAACGCACTCGTCATTCTAGTGGAGCATATGAAGCATGGATGACATCATCGTCTTTCTTTTGCAAGAACCAGAAAAATCAATATCAGAGAGGGAGAGAGAAAAAAAAAAAAAAAAAAAAGGCAGAAATTGAGCGGTGGCAGTGTAAGTGGGATAAAGGGGCACGAAATGCAGCTAGCTAGCTGTCCGATCTGGAAAGGACCTCATGATTATTATCACCACAAATTGCCGTCACACCACCATTTTGATTTTGATATTCACGTTATCATGAATTTTTGTGATTGATATGCTACTAGTACATGTTAAGAGTCGGGTCTAAGGGGTATTTCGGAATTATCCACACTAAACCCTTTAACAGGGCAGAGTTTCCCGTCCTAAAGATACTCAGTAATGGTAACACGTGGAAGTCGAACTTGAGACCTTACTCTAACTATAGACGATCAGTCCCAGCAGACCTACTCATGGGGGCCTTCTATTTATAATCAATTTGATAATTTATTTTGGCTCATTTGATAGTAATTTATGGACATCTTACGTACAAGAAATTTAGATTTAAGTTTTACGATTAAATGCATGAAACATATATAAGATTTTATTATCAATAGTTAGATAAGCGATTTATTTGGAAGGAAGGAATAAATTGGATAATTTGGAAGGTGGGAGTATAAACGGAGATCTCAAATTTGAGCGCGCTACGAATTTCCGATTCTCAGCATGATATATCCCCACTTTTTGGCTGGATAACCTTTTAATTCCCGCGCCCATAAAATGTGATGCGGTGTTGGTTTACATTTTCCACAAATCTTAAAGCCTGTCTGGACTGTTGGTTTTAGAAAATTTTATAGAAAAATGTACTGTAACAATTGGATATATGTAAGATAAGAAAGTGATACAAAAATGTGTTCACCAAAATCATAAATTTTTTTTTTTTTTCAGAAAATGACGAGCGAAAATTGCCCGTGCCGGAGGGACGGCGTTCTAGCTCCTAAAAAGCTGAAACAGCAGAAGCATGTGTCGTGTTTTTGTGTTTCTCCGTGACTTGCGGTTTCGGTTGTAGTTATTGTTGTCACATGAATTTTTCTTTCTCCTTTAATTGCAAAGCAAACCAAACTTACGGGTGGCTTTAAGACTAAGAATCCGTTTGGATTGTTAATTTTTTGAAATTTTGTAAAAAAAAAATTAAAATAATTTGATGTATACGAGATAAAAATATATTTATAAAAAATGTAAAAAAATTTTAATAAAAAATTTAATGAGTTACGTGAGACTTAGTTCAACTTATGAACAAATGAGTTTTGCTTTTAACATTTTAACAAAAAATAAGTAAATAAAAACTTACAACCAGATAATTAACGCTCCTTTTCCTTTTAAGTTCTACGAAATATTTGATAGATATTTATGAAAAGTTCTAGAATAATTGTAAGAGTCGAGTTGAAATGAGGTGGGTAGTGGATGAATTGCAACAAAATGTTCAATTTTCGTCTATTATGGATGCAAATCACGATCAAATTAGGATGGAAATTTGGATTGAATGTGCTCAGATTGATGATTATTTGTAACAAATTTATTTGCTTGCATCGCAAATTTATTTTTTTTTATCTTTTTTAATCACATATATATTTTATTATAAAAAGTGCTATAATATTTATTTCAAAAAAATCGTCTATGACATACTTAGTTGACATTTATATTAAAGTGAGATGCATGGGAGATGATGAGTCGATTTCGACGAATTGTGGCCAATTGAATTGAGATTTTTGAGAGTTGCGACAAGTTTTCCAAACTACAAACCGATGGAGTGTATGGTTCCTATGTTTTTGAATCAAAATTATTGTTCCTTCTCCAAGAAATGCATATTATGGGGGAAGGCGTGAGCAACATAAAGTATTCAGTTGACAATTTGTAATATTTTAGTAGTATTACGTTACATTCACGATTTTACCCAAAAATAATAATAATAAAAAAGAGCACAAAGATCCCACAATTATTGAAGTAATACAAACAAACTACAATTGAACAATAGTATAAACTATATCACAAATTGCCTACAAATCAAATCATGGAGTAAATACTAACATAAAGTTTTAAAAAAAAAAAGTTGCAAATATATAGAGACTTGAACTAAACCTCTCGAATTTTGCAAAGCTTTTTTTCCCTTCTAAGTATTGGAATAATGACTCAATCGGTCCAATTGATTGATAACCTGGTCAACTCGAGAATCTTCTAGCCTCGGGGATTTAATCATTAGATTTGAAGGAGAAAATTGAAAAGCAACTTAGTTCAATCCTCATGTTTTCTTTCGTCAGCTGTGATGAGCATTGCCCTTGAAAAGTAATTAATTAATGAACTTTGGGGAGGGGCAACATTTATTAGATACAGAGTGAAATGATTCGCAGTTTGTCCTCAAATTTGGCCAACAAGACCTGAATTATCGTCGTTGCTGCTGCCCCCACAACTCTACGTTAAATGACTTATCTGATGACAGATAATTCACTACGTAAATCAGATCATTTTCATTTGCTTTTTTTCGATAAAAAAAAAAGATAATTTTATGCCAGTATCTACACTAATGACAGCAAGTAGATCAAATAT